AATGTGAACCTTAAAGTCCCCCCCCCCCCCCCCCCACATCAGTCTCTGTACAGAGGAGCTTACACTCTAAAGTTGGTCATGGTCACATCAGGTACCTTCTCCTCATGTAGAACAGCTAGCACAAGCTCACAGGGAAATTCTACAGACTCCATGCAGTCAGGTGAGGTGTCAGGTTGGGGGTGACACCACGCTGTGTTTCGGGGCGGATGATGAGTGTTTCGCTCTCTCTTCCAGTTGGCCGCCTGCTGATCGAGTTTAGCTCCCCAATGACCATGGAGCGGGTCCAGCGGGAGAACCCGGACGTGACGGACGGAGGAAAGTACACTCCAAGTGACTGCCTGTCCAAGGAGCGCGTGGCCATTATCATTCCATTCCGACACCGGGAACACCACCTGAAGTACTGGCTACATTACCTCCACCCCATCCTCCGCAGACAGAAGGTGGGCTACGGAATCTACATCATCAACCAGGTGAGAGGAACTCTGGCCCCTCCCACAATGGTGAGATTCCCCCCAGTAGTTTGTGTCTGCCCCTCCCACAATGGTGAGATTTCCTCCAGTAGTCTGTGTCTCTGCCCCTCCCACAATGGTGAGATTCCCCCCAGTAGTTTGTGTCTGCCCCTCCCACAATGGTGAGATTTCCTCCAGTAGTCTGTGTCTCTGCCCCTCCCACAATGGTGAGATTCCCCCCAGTAGTTTGTGTCTGCCCCTCCCACAATGGTGAGATTTCCTCCAGTAGTCTGTGTCTCTGCCCCTCCCACAATGGTGAGATTCCCCCCAGTAGTTTGTGTCTGCCCCTCCCACAATGGTGAGATTTCCTCCAGTAGTCTGTGTCTCTGCCCCTCCCACAATGGTGAGATTCCCCCCAGTAGTTTGTGTCTGCCCCTCCCACAATGGTGAGATTTCCTCCAGTAGTCTGTGTCTCTGCCCCTCCCACAATGGTGAGATTCCCCCCAGTAGTTTGTGTCTGCCCCTCCCACAATGGTGAGATTTCCTCCAGTAGTCTGTGTCTCTGCCCCTCCCACAATGGTGAGATTCCCCCCAGTAGTTTGTGTCTGCCCCTCCCACAATGGTGAGATTTCCTCCAGTAGTCTGTGTCTCTGCCCCTCCCACAATGGTGAGATTCCCCCCAGTAGTTTGTGTCTGCCCCTCCCACAATGGTGAGATTTCCTCCAGTAGTCTGTGTCTCTGCCCCTCCCACAATGGTGAGATGTCACCCAGTAGTTTGTGTCTCTGCCCCGCCCACAATGGTGAGTATTCCTCCAGTAGTTTGTGTCTCTGCCCCTCCCACAATGGTGAGATGTCACCCAGTAGTTTGTGTCTCTGCCCCGCCCACAATGGTGAGTTTTCCTCCCAGTAGTTTGAGTCTCTGCCCCCCCCACAATGGTGAGTTT